ACTAGCGAATAAAAGGAAAATGTCTTCTTAGTTTAATAATTGGATTTATTATTTACGATGCTATTAAAAAATTTATTTGTTGCAAGGAATCGAAAGGTTTCTAACAGCTAAGTGAATTTAAGAGCGTATTATAAAACAGCGTGCCACAAAAAAAAGTAAAATTGTAAAATAAAAGAATATCCATCTTACAATAGAAGGTCCATCTAACTCATAACATGTTTTACCGCCCAACTTTTTGTTAAACTAACATAAAGAAAACTTGGGAAAACGTTCTTAAGAATTTAAGAAAATAGTAAGGAATTTGCCCTATCTTCATTAAACTTTCCAGTGACACATTGCCAAGTTATGTTATTAAATATGTTAAATGAACAAATAATTCTAAATGGTTCCTTGTCCTTGTGATAAAAAAAGGTTGAGTTGGGAGAATACTAATTCTGCATTGAAAGAATGACTGATCTTTTGAAGTGATTCAGGAATCAACCAATTCTTTTACAATCGTCTTAAGAACAAAAGTATTGCTCATTTAAGTCATGAGTTAGCAACTGGTAGGTAATTGAAAAGAGTTATGTCTTGAGAAAACAGTAGGTGGATAATTATTCCCATTAGAGTGCTTTTAAGTTGTTTGTGACCAGCACTTTAAATGTCTTTTCCCTGTCTCTTGACTTTGATTTGGCACCAGTATCCTTATTCTAAACCATTTTCAGAAATTTGAGATTCAATAAAATTCAGTCACTCTCAAATATTCTTACGAATCTTTGAATCAGACATGAACCTTCGTCCAATAACATTTTAAGTTCTGCATCTTCAAACACTTCTGAATTTTTTCATGTTTTTTATTCTCCATTTAAAATTACCATCTAAACAGGAACGTGTTAGGGTTTTAGTGGCCCTGGGTGAAACATTAAGGCATTTTAGTTAATAAAAATCATAGTTAATAAAAATCAGTTAATAGTTAAAAAAAATAGTTCATAAAAATCATATTTTGTTTAACAAAGTATATATTAAGCATTGAATATATTTTTTTCACAATTGTGTTCGTGTTAAACGAATAAAACTCTGACAAAATGTGTAAATAATACTTAATATTAATTAACAATACTGCAACTACAGTTCTTAATATTACTACTAATGTTGTTGTCTTAAACCAAGGCAAGGGGTGCGATTGTATGGCCAAGAATTCGACTTCTGTTACACCCATACATCACATCCGTTAATAGGGCGGACCCATTCACACATTCATCTGCAAATCATAATTTTAACCTGAACCAGAAAACGATCAATCTCCAATTCAGTACCCCCAGAGGTATAACTTGTTATGGGAACATGGAGGACTGTGTGACCCATCAGATTTAACGTGCACCAGTCACCATTTATTACAAGGGGAGTCTTCGGCCGGCAGCATTCGAACACCCGTTCTCACGAACGCGAGCCCAGCATCCTGCCAACCAGGCTATTCCGGCATTACTTATAATAAAAAGGTTAATACTATTATTTATTTATTGCAAACTAATTACTGAATAAATTAGGCTAGTTATTATTTTTTTTATCAAACTAAAAACAATAGTGAATTATGAAGGCAGAAAACTACCTTGTCGAATGAAAAATAATTTAACTTAGATCAGAAAACATTTTTAAAAATAAATTACCTGTAAAGAAATAAATGTAATTAAACAGGCATAAGGGAGATAATGCATTACTGTATAAATTTATGAATTAAAAAAAAATCATGAGGCAAATCAGTGGTTATTTTACTTACATATTTTCAAATCATGCCAGTTTTTCCAATCCCTGATAGTCAATGCTGTTTTTTTTTTTTTTTTTTTTCCCTTGACATTGTCCACTGCAGTTCTGCCCTCCTCACACACACACACACTCACAAACTGGCAATATTTGTAATTTTTAATACAATCAGTTTTCATGACATAAAAGTTGTAAGTTGACAAAAAGTTATGGTGTTACTTTAAATTTACACTCCTGTTATAAAGGAACATTAAATGAAATGAAATTAGATACATTTCGAATAATAAAAACTGGTATGAATTATACATCCAAGGAATAGAAAAAATATATCCAAGATTTAGCAAATATAGAGAAAAACGTGTGATATAACTGTTAATCAGTCCTAAATTTTTGACCACCAGGGCGGAGTCTGGTTATGATACTAGAATCAACTTATTTTTGTTGTCCAAGTAAGAAACTGATTAAAAGAAACTAATTGTTAAGTAGTAATAAGACATATACCCATGTAATTTTGTTTCCTTCTTGATTTGTACTTTGTAATATACTTGTTCAGTAAATTTGCATTTTAATTGATGTAAGTGGTTAAAGCTATAAATAATTAACCCTCTAAATATCTTAAAATATGGTGCCGCAAGCTTATGTTAAAAATAAAGAGATTTTGTGTTTATAACAAGCTGAAAATTGTGAAACATTTGCTGAGTGTAACATAACTTTGAAAGAAGTTAACTTTTCTGCTTACCTTTTTCGTTTATTTCAACATTAAGTAATTTCATAAAAAAAGAGCAAATTTTTTTTATTTATTTAAGTCTTAGAATTTTGAGACTTTCTACTTCTATATTTTTGTAGAAACATGAAATTTTTGCTTTTAACCATAGTACAAAGAAAAAAAAGTTTCAATTTTAAATAATAATGCACAATACTTCTATATATAAATATTTATACATAACTATAATAAATATTTTTTACAAAAATTATTCCAACCATAAATATTTTTTTTAATAATTTTTGCACTTTAATATAATTTATTTTAAAAGAAATTTTCTTTTTGTTTTTTCTTTTTTTCTTTTTGTTTGTAAACAAAATAAAATAAAAAGTTCTTTTTGCACTCCTATTTTAGATTGTCAAATACCAGTGAAATTCAGTTTGAACTGCAAAAATTAGAGATTTAAAACAGGAAGGAGAGGACAAAATTAATGCAAGATTCAATAAGGTTTTTCTGCAAAAAAAAAGAATGGAAGCATTGAACATGAGGCAGCATTTTTGTCCTACAAATTTCTTCCCCTAAACATACTACAATTTAGTAGTTAGAAAATAAATCTGGTATTGTGTGTTGCTGGGTTGATGCATCATAGAGTTAAACCATCCAGTTAGTTGATGATTTGTAAGCAATTACTATCATCTACTGTTATTTAAATTATTCTTCAAATAATATAATAAATTATTCTTATTATTCTTCAAATAATATAATAAATTATTCTTATTATTCTTCAAATAATATAATGAATTATTCTTATTATTCTTCAAATAATATAGTAAATTATTCTTCAAATAATATAATAAATTATTCTTCAAACAATATAATAAATTATTCTTCAAATAATATAAAGAATTATTCTTAAAGTGCAAAGTTAAAGAAAGTATAATATTTTGTTAAGAAAAGATTATTTTTTACAAACTAATTTTTAATTTCAAAATTGAGAAAAGTAGGAAAGTTTAGGAACAAGATTAATTTTAAGCAATGTACAATGTAATTTAGTTCAAATGTATATAACAACATTGCCAAATAACTAAAATTAACAAAATAGAAATTACCAGTGCTAGTATAGTAGGTATAGTCAGTGTAGTAGGTATATGAGTGAGTTAAACGTGCACAGGAATGTGTTAATACTTCTCAGAAAGAACCACTTTTATGCAATTTCACTACAATTTGACTATTAGTAGCGAACATGCAATTTATATCGTATATACCATTTTAAAATTATTATAAGCAATGAATTTTATAGATTTCAATGAAGTAAACAAGAAGAAAAAAAATTCCAATAATAGAATTTTAAATAATAATTAGAGCATCAATTTTTAGACAACAGACAAAAAGGTATTTAGTTTTATTTTATTAAAGAAAAATACATCTCAACTGTATTTCAAAAAGTATGCATACAAAAATTAAGTAATGTCATGTTATAAATAAATAAAATAAATTACAATCAAACCAGCTGATTGGTATACAAAATATTTTGATCTTACTTCAAAAATTGGGGTAGATTTAGAAAGACCAGAAGTGGTCTTCCCAGGTACAATCATGGAAGAACACTGAATAATAAAAACACAAACCATGCAGGATAAGTTCAATGAAATAGTACAGTGAGATTTCTCGGGAGAGACCACTCTCCACAGTAAAACGGTCGATAACGGAGGTTGGTAGTTCAAGGGGGTCACCTCCATTGATTTCAAAGGTACAAGTTTTTTCGAGAGCGATGTAATTTTACTCAGGCTCATTTTCTTGGTGTGGAAGTGCCACTTGTGTTGGCTTCATGAAAACCAGATGGATGAAAACTCAGCTTCAATAAAAATGACCCCTAATTATGTGTAAAAACAAATCTGCCTATCATGTAGGGGATAGAGCGTTCGCCTTCCAATGAGATGAACTGAGTTCAAATCCGAGCAATGGCTGGTCGATAAGAATCCGCATTCGACTTGCACTGACCACAGTGGTAGAGTCTTTTTGCCGTCAATCTAACCGTGGGAGGTTCTCATGCTTTTTCTCTCCATGTAACGCGAACGCGGGTTAGTTCCATCAAGAAGTACTCCACGAAGGCAAATTTCTCCCAAAATTTGATACAGGAGTTTCCTTGTCTTCTGGATTTAGTTCAAAATTACAAAGTAACGGAGTTGAACATTAGTATTTCAAAACCCAAAAATTGAGTCGGCTGTTCAACGACGATTATAAAATAAAATAGAGCTATTTTAAATAAATAAACAACTATGATTTTTGTTTAAGTTTGCATTTAATTTTATATCATGAAAATTCCCAGTTAGCTTTAAATAATGAGAAGAGGTTTGTTTGCTGAAGATGCTTAGTTTTTTTCTAAAATTACTTTTTTTTTCTAATTTGCCTTCCAACTCTATAAATAAATCTCTGCCAGCAACATAAGGTTGTCGATATCTTTCAGAGATCATCAAAAAGAGCTTTCTAAATAAGAGCCACCCATAAATATTTTGAATACATTTGAACATACTTATTTGTTTTGCTAATTTTTTTGTTTTGATATATTTTCAAGTTTCCTTATTTGACCTCTATTGCAATTGGTGTGGAGGTTTGCCCGGTCGCTGGAAAAGTTTTTGACGGTCTCTCATAAAGTTTTTCTTCAATACAATGTCTACAGAAAAAACTCCATGCTTCCCAAAAATGGTCGTATATTAAGAAGGTTACTACAAAGAGGTGGTCTTTTCTAGAGGTTTCACTGCACTATTAAAAATGCACTTGCACTTCTTCTTATACTCCTTATCTCAAGTTACAAAAAATCAAGAAGGGCTATTAAAAGTGTTAAGTACTGGTATTGTCCTTTTTTTTAATGGGATAGAAAGAGAGAAAAATTAGAAATATAATGGATAGACATTGAATATTTGAGCTAAACTTGGCAATAAAAAATTACAGGCATGAAATTCACGATTAATTTATGGGATTAAAAATTGAAATCAAATTAGCAACTATGGAATTAAATTGAATCAATGAACCTAAGAAAAGGTCATTTCATAGGAAAATTCATTGCAGATGACCTATTTTCAAACATATTGATTCAAATTTAGAAATAAGTTGGGAAAATTTAAAGCTAAACAAATAAAAAGGAAATCAGTTTTAAATGGTTTAAATTGATAAAGAACTTTTCAAAATTATTTTTAAATATGTTACTGATTGTTATACCATGGCCTATCTCAATATTAGATTTTCTATTCATTTATTTTTTTGAAATAAAAAACAATTAAGTGATTTGATGTATAAAAACAAATGGTGATATTTATTTATTCTTCTAAAAAAAATTTTTTAATATAATGTGTAGTAACAATGAATAAATTATAATTAATATTAACAATAATCCAATAAGAAACAAAAACAAAAAATGATGTTCATTAAAGGAACATCCAGGCCCATTTTCCATCGTTTAGGTGATTTAAAATAGCACCCTAAGTTTTAATAAACATTATTAATAAGCTCCAAACCCTTAATTGTGTCTGAATAAAGTATAAGAGAAAACTCCACTAAATAATCAACATTAAATACAAATTCAAAATTGCAATATTGAATAACTGGGCATAGGTCAGAATAATTAAATTATTCAATGTTGATAAAATTTATAAAAAAAAATTTTTGTCACAGTAAAAATGGAATGACAGCTTTTCGCTTTTTAGGATAGTTTTTAAAATTTTTCTGATACCATTGGTGACTCATTAATCCAGTCATAATTTGACCCGATACAGTCCACAGACACACAAGCCACCATGTATAACTTCTCCCTCCTAAAATCACACTGCCAGCTAAATACATAATGATTTCAGCAAAGTAATGGGGACAGGACACATATTCAAAAAAACCAGATGAAGGAATATAATGGCCGGTAGATACAACTTTGTCACCTGCAAAAATAAACAAAGTTATGAGCATTATGTTGCAGCTTCTGTTCTGAAAATGATTGAAAAAATCTAATTAAAGAAAAAAAGAAAAGATAGAAATGTGCTATTTGCTGAATTTTTTTTTTTTTTTTTGAAGAGGTGGTTAATTTATTCAAGGAATTTTAAAGCAGCCCAGTCATTGGGTGGAGCATACTCATCCTTAAGTTGATCCCGTAAATTAGGGAAGGTTGAATTTAATTGTAACAGTTTGTATACAGACTTGCTCAATACCAGACTTGGAGAAAATGAAAAACCTTCATCAAACACAAAATCTAAATGAAAAAATTTTTTGCTTGCAATTTATTGACCTTTGAAACTAAACTAGTTTAAACCTTTTAGCTACTAGCTGATTTTGACAAAATTTGTTCTAAAATGACCTTTCTTTTCAGTGTTTCAAATTTTTAAAAAAGTCTATATTGACTGTTATACATACTAGCACATTTTTCTTTAAATTTAGCATTTTTATAGACTTACTGAATTTTCTGTAGTATCTCATTTCTCTAAAATTCACTGCGGGGAAGAATATAGAAATTTCGACCATTTATTCACATACATAAGTATTATATATTTTTTATTATACATTGTATACATATACAAAACATTATCAAAATACATATGCATTGTATATTTTTTTTAGCCAACCTACAATTCAGTACATCATAATAATCAGAACGTACATTGTATAACAATGAGTAGGGCTGCAAGTTTGTCGCGGGAAAAAAGACTCCAACTTCGCAGAAAAATCGCGGGAAATTTTGAAAATTACACAAATTCTAAACATAAAAAAATTTATTACGTAAATGATGCAAAAGACAGAAATTGCGCAAATAATAAAAAAAGCTTAAAAATACAAAACAAAAGTATTTCTTTGAATTTCAAGCAATATTAATATTTTTATTTAAATGAACAGAATTTTGGTACAAAGTATTGTACATTGTCAGATTATTCTCATTTATGCTTCGTCTTTCATCACTTAATACATTTTTATACTTAGAAAACGATCTTTCCGTGTCAACGCTGTTTTTAAGCACCGACAAACCCCTCTTGCCAATTTTGGAGCGTTCGGTCTTTGATTTCCAAAACTCAATCTATTTCCCTTCACCAATGCGCAATTCCTTGACTGTTGCTTCGTAAAAAGTAATTGCTGTGAAAACTCAAACATTCTACATTCAAACTACTAGTTACAAGTCCCTACTAACTACTAGTCTCCCCCTTCATCTAAGAAACTTATCCATATTTAAGAAATCACAAGAAGCCGTCTAGGAAAAATTCACTGGATATATAGAAAGGCAGTAGAAATTTCATTGCCCAGTGCAATAGCATGTGTAACAATTTTTCTGTCAAAGATTTGATTTATAACATTTTCCTTCTTTTGTGATTCCAATTTCTTTTGTACTCTTACTGACTTCAGGAAGGTAATTACCCTCCCTAAGTGTAGAAAGACCACCTTACTTTACAAGATTGTGATTATCTCTTATCTTTGAACTATTTTCATGTCAATTTGCTATTGATTCACTCCTCTAAATATCTAATCAATTTTACATGTTCAATTTAAGGTTCAGGAAAATAAAAAATTCTGTTTAATAAAAATAATAAATAAAAAAAAAATTTTTTTAAAGCAATTTTTGTGCAAGTCAAGACATATTGAGAAATTCGCGGATTTTAGGAAAAAAGATGAAAATTTCGCGGAAATTCGCGCCGCAACAGACCTGTAGCCCTAACAATGAGAAATATTCAAGAATTTTTCTACGATAGTGACATATTTTCCGAGAATCGTGTTTGCATACATTATGAATATCAGCTCATTAGCTAAATTTAATTTTACAGAACATCTAAACTCTAGCAATCTAGTTATGTTACACAACTTATTGAGTTTAGATATTAAGAAACATGTTTCGAGTTGCTATAGCAACAAAATAATAAGAGAAATCGTAGAAATTTAGCTTAGTTGATATTTTAATGTTGTGAAGAACATTTTTTTTTACAGTATATATAAAATGCCTTCAAATGAAAAAAAAAAAGAAAATCTGTCACCTGATTTGTACACATATGTGCCAGGCCATATTAAAATTAGATATAAAGTATCTTTAGCAGCCTTGGATCGGCAAACTGAATTTTGATGTCGTAATAAATTGCATTGTATCTTTTAAATTGTTTAAGCTCTCTTTATTACTTATGTAACTTACTTGAGTAATAAAGAAGTAATTAATTATTAAAAACCTCTCTTACTCACAACTCCAGCTGAAAAAGCAATAAAACAATGTTTACAGAAAAAACCAACATTTGTAGCTACAATCTGATAAAAACTTAGAATAAAATTAACAGAATTTAAAATTATTTCAATCAGAACGATCTGAGATGCAGCTGAAAAGAATTGTTTTATAATTTTTCCAATGATTAGAGCCTTCTTTTGATAAGTTTAATTAACTTTGTGTTTTGACGAGGAAAAAGTTCTTGAATTTCCAAGATGCAAACTGTATACATTTTTAGCTCTTTCAATCTTTTATTTTATTGATTTTTTTTGGAGGTACCATATTTAGTAAAGAAAACTTGCTGAAAGTTTTATCGAATTACATAACATACTTTATTTTAAAACATTTAAAAAAAATTAAGATTGCTTTTTTACTAACTAGCTCTAAACTCTACGAAATTAAAAAGCAAAAGATACTATAAACATTTTGATAAAATAAAATTGCAAAACAATGAGTGTACCTGATTTTCGTAAAGCTGCAAATGCTTTATGTGTTTCAAATTGCAAAAGGAATGCTGTAAGAAACAAAACAGAACCAAAGCAATGGGCAGGTGTACACCATTCATGCAAATCATACACCTCATTTGATTTATCTAAAAAAATAAATAAATAAATAATTGAGTTAATAATTATGATAAAATCAAAAACATTATAAGAGAATACACTATTAAATACATATGGAAAAAAAAAATTTAGTTCTCACGCTTTTTAAGTTGAGATAAATATGTTCCAGTTGTTGCCAAATTAATAGAAAAATAACCATTTATGCGAACCTTAACATTATTGTGGCAGCCAACTTTTTCCTTTTATTTGAACATCAAAAATAAAGAACAAACTTCTAAAATAAAAATCTTTAGAAATCTAAATTTTTCCATTTCTTGCGAAATAATGGGTAAAGTAGTTTAGATTTTTGAAGAAGAAAAAAAAGAGAATATTTTACATTTAACTCCAAAAAATGCAATAACTTTTGAATATTTTAATATACTTTAGTTATAGTGAAGGAAAACAAAATGTTATACTAAGTAAAACACCCAAATAAAAGCAACAGCAATTTTTAGTAAAGAAAGTGGGGAAAAGAATAAAGCAAGATTAACCTTAATGTTGATCAAAGTTGGATAGAATACAAATAGAAAAATGATATGCCAACAAAACTAGCAATATGTTTCTCAGAAAAATCATGCTAAAAGATAATTTCTAAGTATTAAAGAAAAATAATTAATAAAACATTTATTTTATTATTATAAAAAATACAGTAAAAAGAAATTAAATAAAACTTACATGTATATCTCTCAAAACCAGGAGCGTCGTGAACAAGCGATAAACCTACACCAAAGTAGAAAGTTAATCCCACAATGTAATGCGACAGATTCATTTTAGAATCAGAATATACGGAGATAAAAAAGCATTCATAGCAGCGTCTCAAAACTTGAAAAGTAATCAGAAAACTTAAAATTGTAACAGATTCTGGCATGACTGAAAGAAAAAATAATATATAATTAAACTCAAGTTCACAATAACTCAAAAAAAATTTCTCTTATCGAGAAAAAGTGCTCTTCAAAACAGTTTGCCATAATGGACCCTTAAACAAATTTTTATTATGAAAACAGTTACTACAAAAAAAAAAAAAAAAAACGCTACTGTTAATGGCTCTAATTCATAACTTTAAAACAAAACTCCTTTTTTTTTGTGTGTGTTTCTTTGCCCNAAATACAGTAAGAAGAAATTAAATAAAACTTACATGTATATCTCTCAAAACCAGGAGCGTCGTGAACAAGTGATAAACCTACACCAAAGTAGAAAGTCAATCCCACAATGTAATGCGACAGATTCATTTTAGAATCAGAATATACAGAGATGAAGAAGCATTCATAACAGCGTCTCAAAACTTGAAAAGTAATCAGAAAACTCAAAATTGTAACAGATTCCGGCATGACTGAAAGAAAAAACAACAACATATAATTAAACTGAAGCTCACAATAACTAAAAAAAATTACTCTTATCGAGAAAAAGTGCTCTTCAAAACAGTTTGCCATAATGGACCCTTAAATAAATTTTTATTATGAAAACAGTTACTACAAAAAAAAAAAAAAAAACGCTACTGTTAATGGCTCTAATTCATAACTTTAAAACAAAACTCCTTTTTTTTTGTGGGTGTTTCTTTGCCCAAAAAACAAAACCTTATTTTTGCTTATTCAAAAAATTACGAATATATTTTCTTAATTTCAAAAAGATGGATTTTTCACAAAAAGTTTGAACCATCCACTGGTTTTTGTAATTTTTTAAAAAAACCAGGTCCATATTTTAATAAATTTACAAAATTATGACTAAATTTTTCCTGACTTCATGAAAACGGACTTTTAATGAAGAGTCTGCAATAATCCCAGCCTACAAATTGTGCTAGAGCGCAGGAAACTGCATAATTCACAATTATCCACATTTTGGTCGAATAACCCAATAATTTCTATTTTTCAGCAAAATGTCCTCATTTATTAAATAAATTTCTTTCACAATATTTTTTTTTTCAATTCAAAAACTCTTTTTAGAAGCTGACACTCCTCGTTGTGAGGGCCTAAATTTTGTCAACCAGCATTGAACTTCATTAAAGTTGTTCATTCTTCATTCAGTTGTAAAGTTGTTCAGTTGATCCAGAAAAAAAAAAGTTTACTTAAATATTGATGACAACTGTAGGTATATGCTCAAAAATATTTCAGGAGTGAGTGATCTATCTGTGAGACGTGAGACTCAAGTACAAAATACAAAGAATACGTTAAAGTAAGTTCAAACCAAGACTTAATCAGATTCGTCTTATCAGAGGTAGTCTTATAGAAATTTCCAGAACTTAAAAAAAAAAAAAACACAAATACTTTTTGTGCTGTTTTATTTAATAAACTGTGAAAGAGTTGCATTCTGTTACGTTCAAATTTTCATGAAACTAAGTTTCTAAGAATGTTCAGCTTTTAGAATAACTTCACTTTCCTTATTTAAACTTAGATAATGGCTATGATGTTAAATATAAATTAAAAGTTAACCCAGTTAAAATTTTTACTATTTTAATTGTGTATTTAAAACAAGAAAAGAATTTTTTTTAATGATTTTTTTTAATGAAATTTTCCAATAATCAAATGAAGTTGGAACAAAACTAAAATAAAAGGTAACACATGTTATATAACATAATCACTAAGAGGTTTTTTCGATTAGCATATAATCATACCAAAAAAGTTACTCTCCAAAAAATTTATTATATATAATAAGATTCAATAAGTGGAATTTACTTACCAGTGCCGTTTCTTTGCACTGAACCAAAATTGTCAAGCAAGTACAAAAGTATTGGACTTTTATAATTATAGAAATATGCTCCATATACAGATAAAGTAACGAAAGGCAGAAATAAAGATGCAAACACATAGAAATGAGAAAACCAACTAAATAAAATAAGAATAAATTATTTTCATCATAATAATCTTACTATTTCAAAAATGAAAATTCATGTGAATACAATTATGTTTTTTCTTAAAAAAAAAGTTCTAAATTACCTTTTAGGCACCTCAATTAACCTAAAAATACTTTTACGTTTTTCATTTTTGTTAATTTTGCCAAATGAATATAATCTGACCACAATTTGAGGAACATGTTTAGAATATAATACATTCAAGCCACTAAATGTCACAATAAAAGTATAACTTAACCACATGAAATGTAAAAGATTTACTTCCATCATAAAATATTGGTAAAAAAATTCGAGGTGTCAGTTGTGGAAAATAATGATAACTTAGTAAAAGTACAAAAAGAACATTATACAATGTAATCACAAACAAAACATGTAAATTGGGAAGATAAAAATCGTCAGATAATTTAAATGAATAATAATACTGCTTCAACTTCTATAGATAAGCCATGCTTAAGGCACAAAATGACAACATTTCAATCAATAGACGTGTCATCGTCATCAAAAATTCAATCACCATAGTTACAATAATCAATCAATCAATTGCAGTCTCAGTTGCAGTGTAATGTAACTTAAATCAGTATTAATATAAACAATAGGTACAAGGTTCAATTCAAACAAATTGTGATAACCCAAATATAGCAAGTATCAATATCAATCACCTTCCTGCAACAATCAATCAATTAAGTGTCTGATTTCGACTGTTTACACGTAGTTTAGTGATCAACGAGAAGTTTTTGTATTTGATTTTTGTTTAAGGGAAGAATAAGAGTGTTTAATGATGGAATTTTCGTACAAATTTCTTTTTTATTTTATTTTGATTTTATACTTCATTCCCGATACTAAGAGTAAAAAAGAGGTATTTTTCACGACTTACTTTTTAATATCAAACTGGAATCGATATTAATGTCATATTTAAAAGAAAAAAAAAGCACATTTTGAGCTCATTAATCTCTATTTTTCTTTCCATTTGCTACATTTTGAATGAATTATATGATATAGATTTATCTTTGAATAGTATTTTAACTTCTTTTAATTACCGAAAATAATGCCGGGTTTCTCTCTCCATAATTTTGCTTTTTTATTTCGTTTAAAAATTAAAGATCTCATGAAAATTGTTAGATTTAGACTATTAGATTTTGTTGAATCTAAAATTTATATATTTTCCCAAAATCACAGCAAGGATATATTAAGATAATATGAAATATTGTTCACTTTTAATGAATGCAAGTCTGCATTTTCGGGTATCTGACTTCAGGATATCTAAAGTAAAACTTTTCTTTTCTGATAGCAGAGTGCATTCAGAAGTAGGGGATATTTCTGTATCCTGATCTGCCGTGCGGTAGATTTCCGTATCATGGTCTGTGGCAAAATATTCAGCAACTTCCGGGCTGTGGTTCACGAGGAACTAAAAAAAAGAACACCACAATTGGCTAGGCTTCAAATTGATTTTAAATGGGAAAATAATTTTTAAAAAAGCATGTTAAGGCTTGCTTGAGGGTGACTACAAGTTATATCCTTCAAATGGTCCTGTGATGCTTTTTTTAGTTTCTTCCGAAAAGTTACCAAGATTTGTAATTATTCTACCACAGATCACGCTACAGAAATTTCCCCCTGAAGTATTTCGATGCTCACAATCTGTGTGTTTTTTTTTTAACTATTGAAATGAAATAATTATTTTTTTTAAAAAAAGATTTCAGCTTCACAGAGCTTGCTATACATTTCATCATTAGAAGAATGTCAGTGTAGAGAATACTGGGCAATGACCTTTAGCCTTAAAAAAACATTATTGTAGGAAAAAACTCCATAGCAGAATGTGCTATTAAGTATGGCGTACACCACATAGTCCTTTCTGCTGAACTTCTTTTTTTTTATATAAAGTAAAAAATTATTTTAAAAAATGTCTGATTATGAGAAAATAGCTTGTTTTGAATGCAAGGTGCATTTTATTAATGATTGAAATGACTAAATATATCACAAGAAAAAAATCTAGCAATCTTATTTTGAAATCGTGCGATCTATTGCATCTTTTTTTTTTTTTTATTTCATGAACATTTTCTCTTTTTCTTCTGCTTTGAAATGTTACCTTATTATTGTCTGCAATAGTTTCTACTCGGCCAATTAAATTTTTAATTGTATTGCATTGTATTTGACATATATGCTATTTCTCATGCATTTTTTAAATGCATGTAGAATCAGGATTACAACAGTCCTGATTATGTGATCATTTTTGAATGCTCGTGTTATAATTTGTTTTTAAATGCACACACTCAGTTAACTTGCTCGGTGATACAATGCATGTCATAATCAGCAGAATGTTTTCACTAATTTATATGATTGTTGAAGGACATTGTCAAACCTTCTACTATATGACATAAGAGATAATGGATAATGACCTTTAAGCATTGGAAATACTGCGTAATAACCCTCTGGGGAGGAAAAAAACAGTAGAGGGAATGCTGGACAATTGTCTGTCGAGTAATAACAGATTATTTATCCCCTTTGTAAAAATAATAACCACATCTTCTTGCAAATCTGATGATAACAATGCACAATTATCTCATTACCTGGTGTACTTGCATTTGCCCAGTATTTCCTTTTCTGTTGTTTTTTTAAGGGTTAAGGAAGAGTCATTGCCTAGTATGCACTTGTTCAGCATTCCCTACACTTTTTCTCTAATCTGTTTTAATGGTGAAATTCATGGCCACCTCCACACAAAAAATAAGGGAATAAATTAAAGAATACTTATTCCCTCGACTTAAATAAATTAATCTAAAATATTAAAGAAAAGCATAATATGACTAACTTGAAGTGTCGAAATGTTTTTGAATGCATTCTGTTGTTAAAAAAGAAAAGTTTTATTTTCAATCTCCATTTTTCTATAATCAAAAATAAATTCGGTTTGGCATTATCTGTTTATTGAAAAATGTTGACAGATTCGTCTCTATAAGGAGGAAAGTTGAAATGGAAAGGCTAATTAAAAAAATCTCCAGTATATAAGATAATGATAGATATAATGTATAGGATAGATCCAATTGATCTATCTTATAGATCCAATGTATAAGATAATGATATAAGATCTCCAAAATGTATAAGATATGGATTCATTTTAATATATCCCTTTTGCTGGTAAGAGGGCATGGGGATGTGTTTTATTTTTTATTTGTGTTACTTTTCTTCAATTTGGATAGATTATCAGTTTATTAAAAAACTATAACAAACTGATATTTTTTCCAGAATGTTATTGACATTGTTTTCTATTTTAAGGCACAAACTCTTGCTGAAAGAGTTCAAGAACTAACTGATATGTCTTCAAAACGAGCAATCATTAGATTAACAGGTGATAAATTTCGCCAATTTATTAAAGCTACTCCTCGAAACTACTCCTTTATTGTTATGCTGACAGCTTTATCTCCTCATCGACAATGTGTAGTTTGCAGGTAATAATAACTGTCAACTGGTATATTTTATATAAGTGTAAAAGAAATTATTTTACAAACTCTGTATTTTTTTCCGTTACTTTTTAAAATCAGCTGTGTGTAATCTTAAAATTTGTTGTTGAATTCTAATTATTTATTTAATATTTCCTTTTTCACAAGGCTGAAAAATTTTTTTCTAAAGAATAGATATCTAAAGAAATATTTATTTTAAAAGCTAACACCACAACTCTATTGGTCTAAATTATGAAAATATCAATCCCACAATGAACAGTTTGTAAAGGCACGGTACTCTGTAGAAAACCGAAATCAAACATCACTGGCTGCGGTCAGTAAGCAAGTGGGTGACCACTTTGGTCAGCTTGCTTATGAATAGAATGTGCGGTATCAGTCCTAGTTAAGCTGATCTACTGTAAAGTGCTCGACTTCGTGTGCAGTTCATCAGGCTACGGAGAGCCATCCTTGCTGCATGCTGCTGGAGATCAAAGTTGTGATGGCATGTTTTTAGATCGTTCTCAGGGATGTTTCCCGGACCATCGCCAATAGCCCATTGTGCAGCTCTAGTGCGACGTAAATAAAGTACCTAGCTACTTATAAAAATATCATTTTAAAGTGGTAAATATCTTTTTCGAGATATTTCATAAACATTGTTGACAAATAGCTAATCCATATTTCTATTTCGTCTGTTATTATACTGAATGGAATCAGTTTTATTTGAATTTAGTAACTCCTGAAAAAAAATGGCCCAGCTATTTTACTGGATTCAAATAAGGTATCTTTTTATTCCTGTAATTAATCTGTATTTGGAAATAGATATCAGGGAAGCCAACTATCATAAAGTTTACAAAGCTTTAGATTTTTTTTCCGATAATTACTTAATTTACATCATATTTTTTAAATTTTGAATGACTATACAATATGAAAATTTGGAAAAATAATCATTATTTTCTTTTACAATGGAACAAACTGGTTTATTTATTTATTTTGTAAGTTTAATTTATAACTTTTCAATATTTTATCAACTCTCTCTGTTAATCTTTATACAGTTATATGTAATGCAGCTTATTTTATTTTTTACTAAAAAGAATGTAAATATCATGTCAATCCTTTATTTTGTACTTTAATATTAGTTCAATTAGTACAGAAAATTGTCTTAATTGCTACCAAAAAAAGAAAAAAAAAAAGGCTTGAGTCTCTCTGATATAAACATTTAATTGCATCATCATTCATAGTCATTGAGATGACAATTTATCGAATGGTTTATTATTAGTAAAAATATAGCAGAAATGTTTTTTTGCTGGCAATCCAAAGCAACAGTGCATCAATGGCATAATTTTAAGCTTTTTTTAAAAAATTATCTTTTGTATAATTGCAAATTTATTTCATTTTAGAAAAACTTTTAAATACTTTCTTAAAATGTTTTATGTTGATTGTTTTTTTTACGTCTAAATAATCACTGAAATATGAACATAATTACTAAAATTTGTATTTAAATATTTTAAGAATAAATCCACTTTTATACTAATCGTTAAAAAACCAAATATTGTCGACTCTTTTTCTTTACTTCTCAATAAAAGAAATCGTGAGAATTTTTTTTTAATATCACTTTAATATTTAAAATTTTTTTACAAACTAAAAAAAAATTTTTTTTTTAAAGTATATTTTCTTCAGTTTTTACATTTTAAAGTCTACGGCTTTATCAATATTTGATGTTTTTTTTTTTTTTTTTTNATTCAGTTTTTTTTTTTTTTTTTAGTTTAAAAAAACGTGTATAAATTTTGATAAATTTGATAAATTTGTATAAATTTGATAAAAGTTGATATTATTTTATTGCTGTTTTATAATGCTATAATTGTAGTACTAATTTATGCGAATTATATTATTTGAATGAAAAAATTTGACTTTAAAAGTGTGTCTTCAAGAAAAATTTGTGAATACTGGTTTAATACTGGTACAAATATATGGAATCAATTAAAATGTCATTAATTTATTAAATTTTTGTTTTAAATTATTATTTATTTGTCTTGTAATGTAATAATATAATATCTTAAATTTGTTAATAATCCAAGTACTTTTTAATTAAACCTATTCTTTGTATTGAAACATAGCGCAAAGTTTCAGTTGTCTAATAATCCAGTTTATAAAAAAATAAGTTTTTCTTCAGATGGTTAACTGTTCCAATATTTTTAAAAAAAATAGTATAATTTAAAAAAGTGCAATTCAAAGCACTAAATTAGCTAAAAGAATTTGAAATGTAAGAAATGTATAGATTATTATAATATTTATTAATTCTTTTAAGGCATGCTCATGAAGAATTTCAGTTGGTAGCTACATCTTGGCGCTTTTCCAATGCAGTTAACAACAAACTTTTCTTTGGAATGGTTGATTTTGATACTGGACCTGATGTTTTCACATCTGTAAGAATCTCTCTTTTTTTTCTTTTTTCATTCATGAACATATACATACATATTTTTTTATTGTGCTATGTTTATTGTTTGCTGTTGCTTTTTGAAATAGTGAAAAAATTCTACTTATGTTACAAAGCAAAATTACTGTAAAACATAAATTATTTTGTTTACATAAGTTTGAATTTATATAAGTCTGGAGTGTGCAATTACATTACTATTCTTATTTATGAAGCTCATACTTATGTAATTGAATTAGAAATGTTATTTATTTAATAATATTTTTTATTGTGCTTTTGTTCTAAGATCTGCACTGTTAACAATTCAATCAAATTGTGTGAAAACATAGTGTATTCTTTGCATGAGTTTTCCTTAATTGAACTAGACCTAGGTAGTTATGCTTCACAAAATTAGAATTTTACTGTTATTTTAAACTGGAAAAGAAAGAAAGATTTTGATTTTTCACAAACAACCATACTCTTAGTTATGAACATGTAGGAAAAAATCTTAGCTTTGAAAGTGATAAAATACCAGTACTAAAAACACAGTTACAGAGATTGTCCCAGATTTCAAAATGCCTTTTAAAGGTTTAAGTAAGTTATGTTGAAATTATTGCTATTAATGATCTAATTTTAAAATAAATTATGGGACAAAAATTTGTTTTCTACTAAAGAAATCCTTTAAAAATTTTGATTTTTTTTTTTTTTTTTTTTTTTACTTTGCAAAGGAATGCAATTTAATTTAAATTTCAGTAAGTGTGATGGGAAAAGGTTGTATAGGTAGGAATTTTCTTACAGTATGAAGCTATTGCAAGGATTATAGAATGAAGAAGTCCATCTCTCCGAATATGTAACTAATGTGGAAAACTGCTCAGTATGGGATGCTACATCAGAAAAACAGCTTACATGCAGCAACATATTTTTGTTTTTATCTCAAAATGTGTGGTCAGATATTATTAACATAGATGATATAAATAAATTCTCAAAGGAATATCTTTAAGAAATAGTGCAGTACCGTTTATACAAAGCGCAAAAAGGCAGCAGACCAACCATAAACAAAAAGAGAAAACTTTTCTTTTCTTCCCAAACCCCAGGAGTGGTTAAGAGGAGAGGTGGGTGTAAAATCATTTCAAAACGAGCTTCTGCTGTTATACTCCTTAATGTTGGTTCTTCCTTTATACAAAGGAACCATACCAACCCTTGGAGGACTGGTTTACATTATGTCTCAGGACCCTAGTCTTCTTCTCCTATGTATACTCTTTGACTACTGTGTATGCATTTGTGTACACAACGGCGTCAAGTTATTATTTAATGAACTGCCATTATAAGAAATGGCAGGTATCTCTCCTTATAATTTTTTCTTTACTTATCCTTAGCAATAACAATTATTGAAATAAAATATCTTGTTTGGGAATATAGTTTTATGTAACAAATGTTTTTTTTAAATATTATAATTAAATAATAATTTTGTTTTCAGTTGGGTATGAATTCAGCCCCAGTTTTCATGCATTTTCCTGAGAAAGGCAAGCCTAAAAAAGGAGACCAAATGGACATTCAAAGGTACCTCAATATTTCTTTCTATCAATCAATTTGATTTACTAATACAGTTTTATTTGGCTGTTAAAATAGAATTATATTCTTTTTTTTATAAAAAAGGATATTAATTTTCTTTATTTAAAAAATATATATATTATCAATATTACAATTTTGAAAATAAATGAAATGTTTAAAATACCCATTTTTCTAGTCTAATACCACTAAAATGTTGATTTGTTTTCCTTTTCTTTACGACTTGTTAAATATGTATAGTTTCACGTTTTCTTATAGATTTATTTGCCTTTTGATTACAGATCCTTCTTTTTGAATATAATTGTAGGTTAGAATTTTTCTTATAATAGGAATTTTTATTTAATTTCATGAAATTTCAAGTTAATAAAATTTTTAATTAATATTTTAACTCTACTTATGCTATTTAAACAATTTTTCTAAACCTGTTTCTTTTCCTCATTCAAGATATTTTTTTCTTGATGTATTGTTATTATTTAACGTAATAATACACACATAAATTTTTCTGACATAGCTCTAAGCATCCAAATTATGCATCACAATTATAAAAAGTTGAGACGTATATAATACATATTAAAAAACTAATTTGCAATAGGTCAACAAATATTGATTAAATTTTTTTCAGTAAAAATTAATCAACTTCTTAATTTTGTAATTAATAAAATTAATTGACTACTTAAAAAAAATTGAATTTTCCATTTTCTATCTCTGTTTAATTCAATTCCTTTTCGTATTTTTTTCAAGCTTATATCCTGAGTATGCTATCATAAAGTTTTTCATTTAATTTTTAGAAGAGTTTAAATGTTTCATTTCAAGCACTATTGAAAAACTGTGCTTTCTACTTACTGTATAAAAGCATTTATTATTTAGTTAAGCACAGAATATGAATTATAGAATGGAACATATTTAAAATTTAATATGAATGAAAAGTATTTTAATTTTATAAATTAGAACAGATATAACCTTTCATTGACTGTTTCAGGATAGAAATAACCTTTCATTGACTGTTACAACATCACATATTCAAAAATGTTAGTCTGAAGAAAATTGTTTTTATTTCTTTTAATGAATTGATTTAATTTTAGAATAGGATTTCAAGCTGAAACTATTGCTCGTTGGATTGCTGAAAGAACAGATATTCAGGTAATTATATTAGTTTTGGTTGAAACTATTGATTTTCATTTTAATTTGGAAATGTCTTTTGAGTTCTAAAACTTATTTCAAGTTTACTAAAAGTTTAGTTTTGAAAGTAAACAAGAAAAACAGCTGTAGTTAATTTTGACTTATCAAAAATTCAATGAAGATTGATTTTAATTCCAAGTACAATTAACGGAAATCAAAATTCACGAATGTTTTCTTTTGCCTTTTTAAAATATTTCAATGTAATTTGAATATTAGTAGAATAGTTTTATCTATATAGTGAAACTATATCTTAAATCATCACTGACAGCCAAAGATTCATGATGTTATGGAAAATTTGATTAATCAACAATTCAACGAAGTATGTTTTTCCCTCAAAGTCAAAGATTCATTAAATATGGAAAATTTGACTTCAAAAATTTAATTGTGTTTTTTTTTTATTCCAAGAACAGGTAAAATATCTTGGAAGAAAAGATAACATATAAATTTTCTGTAAAGAATATGCTTTTTATTTCAATACAATTTGAATGTTAGAAAATGAGGAAGAAACCTTTAAGAAAGTAAACACATGTTGGAATGATACTATTGCAGGTAGTTAAATGACATCTTGAAGCATAATTGAAAGCCAAAGATTCATCAAGTTATTGAAAATTTGACTGATTGAAAATTTAATAATCTTTTTTTTTTAATTCCAAGAGCAAGAAAAATATCTTGGAAGCTAAGATTGCTAAAATTTTCTTTAAGAAAAATGACTTTTTATAATATTCCTATAGAGTTTTAATGTTCAAAACTGGGGTAGAAACCTTTATGAAAGTAAAACATGTTTGAATTATACAATTGCAGGTAGTCAAAGATAACTTATGGAAATTTATTTCCTTGCCCATTGCCCTGTCTATATATTTTGCTCCCAAGGCAAAAGGAGCTCTTTAAATAAACATAAACCCATTTTACTTACCACTTTAAGGGAATTTTGTAAACTAACATTTTAATCTGATGGTACATTTCAGAGCGGTTCTGTAGATGAAGATGCATTCTTACCTTTTAAATTTTTTTTTCACTGTCAAAAGAAAACAAAAGTCTGAGTAACCATCCTCCTACATTTTTAAAAGAATTGATATATACCAATGAAAAAAATTGAGAGAACTTCAGTTAATTTCTCACCGAAAGGTGTAGATCTTTCTGCACATTACTACAAGCATTTTTTTTTTTTAAATTTCATTATTTAGAAAGTTTATAAAGTTTTCAGGTTATTAAAAAAAATGAGTGAATGAATTAATATGGTGTAAAATATTTAATGTTAAAATCAAATCTGTAGAGTTTTGAAATTATCAAAACAGTGAGTTATACAATGTTTAATTTTTAATGTTTTAAACTTTTTTTTGTAATATTTTTCTTATAGATATAATCATTACCAAAAAAATAAGTCAATGTTTGGAGCTCAACTTTGAAATTACATAATTGTATTTACAAATTCTATTTTATTCATGAGCAATATTTCCAAATATCAACTTTGAGCAGTAGTGTATAATTTAAAATTTATTAAATATGTTCATCGAATTTAAAATTTAGGGAGTGTTTAAAATTCTAACCCTTCTAAATATTTGCTGTTACATGTGACATTTCCTGTGTAAAGAACTATGCAAGCTAAATAGCACAAGTCTGGTCCTCAGAAACTGTTTGTAATAATTTGTTAATATATAATTGTATATTTTGTCATTATATAATTGTTTTAGGCATGTTTCTTTTACTTCTACTTGAATATCAATTTTCAAATTGAGTCTCTTTTAATGAAGAGGAATTTATTTTGTAAAATAGTTTCAAGGTTAATTACTCTTAGAATATTTAAATTTTAAATAAGTTTCTTTGTTAAATAATAATTACTTTCTGTTCTAAGTTATAAAAAAATGACTTAAGGTGTAAAAAAAGACAATTTTGTCCAACATATTATGTTAATTTATATCATAGAATTGTTTTCTTTCTTTCTTTAGATTCGAGTGTTTAGACCCCCAAACTATTCTGGAACAATCGCTCTAGTCATACTTTTTGCCTTAATTGCAGCACTTCTTTACATGAGAAGAAATAATTTAGATTTTTTGTACAACAAAACATCATGGGGATTAGGTGCTTTGGTGAGTTACTGCATTATTTACATATATTTTGAAAATTCGTAATAATGTATATTTTTATTTGTACAACTGCTTAAAAAGCTTGATTTTTGTGAACATTCTTGTTGTTATTTTATGCCTTATATTTTTGCCATTTAGAAATTTCCTCTTATTTTATATTTCAATCAGTTTACTTTCTATTCAATCAGTGAAAGGGCTCAATCTATTACATTGTTTTACTTCAGATTATGTCAAAAATACTATCTATTAATTTACTTTCTTACCTAATCTATTATTACTTAATCATTATAGCAATATCTTGGTTTTTTTTTTTCAAAAAACCCTCTGTTATTCTTCAAATTTATATGTTTAAACTTAACCTTATTCAATGTTTAAAGAACAATGAAGGAATAAAAATTTGATGGAATATTTTAATAAATATATATATACTTGTGAAATTTTTTGCACTATGTGCTAGAGCAGTGTTTTTACATCTTCGAGTATAGAGTTATCTCGTATACACAAAAGAAGTTAGAGGAAGAATGTTAAAGAGAAATTTTTTTTTACAGTTATTGTGATTTATTTCTAACTTTAAATATTTGTCCAGCATATGTACGTGATTATTTCTAATCAGCTGAGTGGAGAGAAACACAAAATTTCCATCAATTGAGTACATCTGTGATAAAGTCTAGTATCAAAATTAAATGTTTTATTAGTTACAAGCATGATATAATTAAGGACTACTGTATTTAAATTATTATAATTTGTTATTTTAGAGGCAGGGAACTTAGCTCATTTGGCAATATAAAGCCTCATTAATCATAATTTAATACATTTTTAATTTGTCAAATCTGTGGCATTATTTCTCTTGGTTTATTAGAATTAAAACTTTAAACACATAGTACCATAGTGTCTTAGTAAGTTATTTTAAAACTTTATATTTTAAATATAAACGGATGAATTAGGATATAAAATTATGTGATAAGGAAATATTAGACATTAATATATTGTTATAATAAGAACAATAAAATAATGTTATTGATCTTGTAATAAAAATACTTATTTCTTACATTTATTATTCAGTGCATTGTTTTTGCTATGACTTCTGGCCAGATGTGGAATCATATTCGAGGACCACCATTTATGCATCGTACAAGTAAGGGTACAGTGGTAGGTATTCACTTATTTACAAGTTTTTACTTTTATAAGAAAAAATTATATTGTATTTTATTTAAAATAAGATTTCTTTTTTAATGGTACTCTGTTCAAAAATGAATTTATTTTGAAAGAATACAACTGAAACAAACATGAAAAGTATGAATATGAATATGCATAATCACATTTACTTAGGGCCTCTTACTATAGAGTCATCTCCACATCCAATGACCAATTTTTAAAGGTTAATATACCATTTTGTTTTTATAAAAAGGCAAAAAGACCATTTATAGGCTTAAAAAAACCATTTTTGATGCTGTTAATTTAACATTAATAAGCTCTTTAGGCGAGAAGAGGCAACCCTTTATAAATGACTAAATAATAGCCTCCTACACAAAACCTTTCATAACATTAAATTATACGATCTACAGGTACAAGAAGGGTACCTAATAAGTGAAAAATAACCTTAGCAAACATTTCCCATTTGTTAACACATTTTGTGTAAATTTCGGGTAAATAAAGTGACAGAATGGCTTGATTGGTTGCAGTTCAAATTTAGTGAAAGTTCTAGTATGTTAGAGCTTTAAATATGTCTAAAAAACAATTGAGATTTTAGTTGGAGCAGTGCATCAAAGTGATCAAGTTACATAAAAAAGTGATTTGAAGGAGAAGTTAGTGACTGTTTTATGTAAGGGGAAAACAAAATTAAGATAAATTTTGAAATGTAAAGTAGAAATGGGAAAACTTCTTCTAGGTTTGGAAATGATAGTGTGGATTGGAAATATTCATTCAGCACTACTTTTATACTATACTACATTTAATAAATAAATAAACAAAAAATATTTTAAACCATTTTTGCCCAAAGGTGTGTAAACACACTATTTTAATAAATATTTTTTATTGAAGCTGAGATGTATATTTTTCACATATTTTAGTTTTCTGCTATTGTCAAGGGTTCTGAAAACATCTATTAAATATTAATAATTCAGTTGGAGTGCATGTTCTGTTGAGAAAATTTTAAACTATGCTAGTTTCTTAACTTGAGAGGGTTATTGACAAATTTAACTCTTTGAAAATGTTTAAATTCTTCATTTGAGATTAATCATGTATCTCTTATGATGGATTAAAGTTGCAAGTTCTGTAAATAAAGTAAATAAACAAAATTTCATAAAAATCTAGTGTTAAACTAAATGGTTTGTTCATTGATTTGGCTCATGGTTCATACATTTTAACAATATGCTTCAATGATGTACTTACCAATAAGTTTTTATATTAGTCTATTTCTAATTTCTCTGCTGTTCTAAAAGACACTAATTAAATTTCTTCATTATGTTTGACAAGTCATATTTTAAATATTAATTATTATGTATAATTTGAAATATTATTATCATATATGAAATTTTATTTTTATTATTACAGGGCTATATACATGCTAGCAGTGGTGGCCAATTCATTGTTGAAACTTATATTGTGATTGTTTTGAGTATCCTTTAAAAAAAGAAAGGTTGAAATGGTTAATGATAATTGATTAATTCTTTGAAAATTTATCAAAGAATATAAAAATATAATTATTCTCATCTTTTCTATAAATTCCATGCTATTGGTTACTGATCCAAAATTAGTTTATCTAAAACTTAATAGTAATATTTTTTATAAATGATGTAAAAAATGAGCTAAAATAAAACTTATTGAAATGTTCTGTTTATAATTTTTAAAAAGAATCATGCTTTAGAAGAGCTTTATCAAATCATGTGCATCATGGTGATTTATTCATTCTTTACTCTTTTTTGTTTATGAAAATATAGCCTTAATATAATTATTTTGTTTTTTCTATATTACTTTAAGCCTGACAAAAATAATTATATTTGCATTTGAAGCCTGAAGATAATTTTTTCTATAAGTAAATAATTTTAATAGTTAATTCAGCTTAAAATTTATTAATTTTAAATTTAATAAATTTAAATTTTTTAAATTAACATTAAAATTTTTTTAAAGTGTGACAAAAGTAATTATATTAGCATTTGAAGCCTGAAAATAATTTTTTCATTAAGTAAATAATTGTAAAAGTTAATTCAGCTTAAAATTCATCAATTTTAAAATTAAGAAATTTTAATTTTTTAAATTAACATTTAACATTAAAATTTTTTAAATTAACATTAACATTTTTTAAATAAATATTAGCATTTTTTAAATTAGCATTTTAATTAACTTTTAAATTTTACCTAGATCATCCACATATTTAGCCCTATGTTTTTTTTTAAAGTTACAGAAATTGCTATCCAATTTTAAAATTTCCATTGGTTGTGGCTTTTTATAAATTTTCTATCAAAATCAATCAATCTGGTAAATACCAGAATGGTATTGATTATCAGGGATGAGATTTTTCCGCTTTTTAGCTGATTTCCGCTTTTTTTCACTTTTATCTCTTGAATTTCAGCTTTTTTATCAAAAATTCAGATTTTTCTAAAAATTTCACTTTTTTTATAAGTATTCCGCTTTTTCAGAAAATTCACCCATTTTCAGAGAGAAACAGAAAATTCAAACTACATAGCTACCAATCCTTTCTCATTTTTACTTATTTTAGCTGTTTTCTCCCCTTTTANCAAGCTTTTTCCGAATTTTTTACCCGCCCTCCAGATAGATCCGATTTTTGTAGTTCAAATGACGCTGTTTTTGACAAGCCTTTTAGAGGTCCCAAGCCTGGAATCTGCCAATATCTCGATTCTTATTCACACGATTTTAATATCAAACATAGCTTTTCATATTTGCGTGTTGAGATTCTTATTCACGCGATTTGAATATTGTACGTTGTGATTCGTATTTATGCCTTTTTAAAAACCTATGAAGCGATTCGTATTCACGCGAGTTTAAAATTCAATGTCTTGATTTGCTCATGCTGTTTATAATATCAAACATTGATTTTCATTTATACGTGATTTTAAAATAAGGCATTGAGATTCGCAATCACGCATTCTAAAAATTATGCATCATAATTCTTATTTATGCGATCTAAAAATTACGCATCATGATTCGTATTTACGCGATCTAAAAATTATGAATCGGGATTTGTATTTACGCGTTTTAAAAATTCTATATCCCAGTTTGTATTTTCTCATTTTCAAAATCGTATATCTAGTTTCATATTCATGTGATTTCAAAAGCCATAATTGTTATTCATATTCACGCAATTTTGAGATCAACTCTCGCGATTCTTGTAAGAAGTAAATTTTTTTTAAAATTAGTTACTATAAAGGTGACTGTTTTTCTAACGACGATTATTAGTATGTATGTGTAAGTGTTACAACATCAGAGAAACTGGATTCAAAACTTACATTCTGTGCTTGCAAAGAAGAAAAAATAGGATTTGTCACAAGATGTTTGAAGATGGANGTTATTTTAGAGGCAAGGAACTCAGCTCATTTGGCAGTATAAAGCCCCATAAATCATAATTTAATGCATTTTTAATTTGTCAAATCTGTGGCATTATTTCTCTTGGTTTATTGGAGTAAAAACTTTAAATGTATAGTACCATAGTGTCTTAGTAAGTTATTTTAAGACTTTGTATTTTAAATGTTAATGGTTGAATTAGGATATAAAATTATATCATTATGCAATAAGGAAATATTAGACAGTAAAATAGTGTTATTGATCTTGTAATAAAAATACTTATTTCTTACATTTATTATTCAGTGTATTGTTTTTGCTATGACTTCTGGCCAGATGTGGAATCATATTCGAGGACCACCATTTATGCATCGTACAAGTAAGGGTACAGTGGTAGGTATTCATTTATTTACAAGTTTTTACTTTTTATAAGAAAAAATTATATTGTATTTTATTTAAAATAAGATTTATTTTTTAATGGCACTGAATGAATTTATTTTGAAGATGAATTTATTTTGAAAAAATGCACAGCTGAATCAAATATTAAAAGTATAAATATGACTATGCATAGTCAAATTTATTTGAGGGACCCATACTTATAGAGCAATCTCCATATCCAGTGACAAATTTTCAAAGTTTAATATACCATTTTGTTTGTAAGAAAAGGCAAAAAGACCAACTATAGACTTAAAAATATCATTTTAGAGACTGTTAAATTAAGGTGAAAAAGTTTTTTAGGTGAGATCAGGGCACTTTATATAAATGACTAAATAACAGCCTCCTACCCAAAACATTTCTTAATATTAAATTATATGACCTTACAGCAGGTACAAAAAGTTAATTTAATAAATGAAAAATTACTGTGGCAAATATTTTCGATTTGTTAACACATTTGTTGTAAATTTCAGATAAATAAAGTGACAGAATGACATGGTTAGATGCTGTTTAAATTTAGTTAAAGTTCTAGTATGTTAGAGCTTTAAATATGTTTAAGAAACAACTGAGATTTTAGTTGGTGCAGTGCATCAAAGTGATCATCAAGTTACACAAAAAAAGTGATTTGAAGGAGAAGTTAGTAACTGTTTTATATTAGGGGAAAAACAAAGTTAAGATAAATTGTGAAATGTAAGATAGAAATGTGAAAACTTCCCCTAGGTTTGGAAATGATAGTGTGGATAAGAAATATTTATCCAGCACTACCTCTATACTATACTACGTTTAATAAATAAACAAAAAAATTATTTTAAACCGTTTTTGACCAAAGGTGTGAAACGCACCATTTTAATAAATATTTTTTGTTGAAGCTGAGACCTATATTTTTCAGTTATTTTAGTTTTCTGCTATTGTCAAGGGTTCCAAAAAGATCTATTAAATATTAATAATTCAGTTGGAGTACACTTTCTGTTGAGAAAATTTTAAACTATGCTAGTTTCTTAACTTCAGAGGATTATTGACAAATTTAACTTTTTGAAAATGTTTAAATTCTTCATTTCAGATTAATCATGTGTCTTTTATGATGGATTAAAGTTGCAAGTTCTGTAAATAAAATAAATTTAAAAAAAATTCATAAAAGTCTAGTGTTAAACTAAATGGTTTGTTCATTGATTTGGCTAATGGTGCATGCATTTTAACAATATGCTTCAATGATGTACTTACCAATAAATTTTTATGGTAGTCTGTTTCTAATTTCTCTACTGTCCTAAATGACACTAATTAAATTTGTTCATTATGTTTGACAAGTCATGTTTTAAATATTAATTATTATATATAATTTGAAATATTATTATCATATATGAAATTTTAATTTTATTATTACAGGGTTATATACATGCTAGCAGTGGTGGCCAATTCATTGTTGAAACTTATATTGTGATTGTTTTGAGTATCCTTTAAGGAAAAAGGTTAAAATAGTTAATGACAATTGATTAATTCTTTGAAAATTTATCAAAAAATATACAAATATAATTATTCTCATCTTTTCTGTAAATGCCATGTTATTGGTTACTGATCCAAAATTAGTTTATCTAAAGTTTAATAGTAATATTTTTAATAAATAATATAAAAAATGAGCTAAAATGAAACTTATTGAAATGTTCTGTATTGAAATGTTTTAAAAAAAATCATGCTTTAAGAGAGCTTTATCAAATCATGTGCATCATAGTGATTTATTCATTCATTAATCTTTTTTGTTTATGAAAATATACCCTTAATATAATTATTTTGTTTTTTCTATAGTACTTTAAGCCTGACAAAAGTAATTAAATTTGCATTTGAAGCCTGAAAATAATTTTTTCAATAAGTGTATAATTTTAAAAGTTAAATCAGCTTAAAATTTATTAATTTTAAATTTAATAAATTTTAATTTTTTAAATTAACATTTTAATTAACTTTTAAATTTTACCTAGATCGTCCACATATTTAGCTCCATGTTTGTTTGTTTTTTTAAAGTACTCTACTCTATAAAGATTTAAAAACAAAGCTTCAGATTTTTTTTCAAAGTTATAGAAATTGCTATATAATTTTAAAATTTCCAGTAGTTGTGACTTTTTATGAATTTTCTATCAAAATCAATCAATCTGGTAAATACCAGAATGGTGTTGATTATTCACATTGATACAACCAATCATACTGACTAAATGGAATGAACTATAATGAGGGGTGTTTTCTGTTCAAACACGCTAACCTTGTGATACAGACTCCGAATTTGATTTTCAGAGGATAGTTGGACATATTCACCACTGTTTTGCACATGGTTGTCCTTTTTTTTCTTTTTTTTAAAAATTCATTTGACTTAAAGTTTATATTTAGTTATGAATGAGAATTTAGTTATGAAATGAACAGTAATTATTTTATTTTATTTATTTATTTATTTTTCTTTCTTTATTTGTTTACTATTTCAAATTATTGAATTGATACCAATATAATTTATATTAACATAAATTTATTAACTTTGATTATATTATAAAAAAATTTATTTCAAACTATACTTTTGAGTCTAGAAGTAATAAAAATTAACATTGATTTTATTTTTGATTGATTTTATTATTTAAATTCTGAAAATGAGTGCATAAAATATTTTATCTATATTGAATATTAGTCTTGTCTGGTATCAAAAAGTAAGTTTAAATGTGTACTTCTTAATTTTCTAGATAGATTATTATTTCTTAATAATGTTATGCAATGCTTAATTTTTATTAACATGCTCCAAAATCAAAACATGTTAAGTCTTTGGTGGCATGTTAACCTACCATAAAGAGATATATAATGATCACTCCCTGAAGACATAACATCTTGGTTTGGCATTTTAAACTAATACCATTATATAGTAAGTTTTGCATAGTAAAAAGAACTTAAGTTTTTCCCAGGTACAAATATGCGTGATTTAATAATATATGAAATGTTCTCACATTTTGTGGTGATATAGGAAAAACAAATAATCTTAGTTCATTTCTTTTTTTTTCTATATTCAGTGTAAAAATCTTGAAATTTGACTTGTTTTTGTAATGCAAAATACTGCTCATATGGCAATGTTAAATTTAATTTTATATCTATTTTTTTGTTACTATTTACTACATTCAATTTGTTCATGAAGCCTTAACTAATCTAAGATGCTGCTATTGTGATTGGCATGGTGCTTTTGCAGGAGGCTGCTTCCTGTCGGGGAGATTCAAAGAAACGAAAAAGTAACTATTTTTCTTCTATCTCTCTATATTTAAAGGAATAAGTAACTGTCGCTACTATTATTTAAAAAAAAATTCATTTATGCATGCTTTTCACTTTCATAAAAATTTAAATAATTCAATGAAAAATTATAAAATGTGTACATTTTTAGAGAAATTTTTAGTAAACTTTCAACTTTCTCACAATGCATTGAAATTTATTTTTCGACACTTCTTATTCATTTCGTATAAAATTACTTTGACTTTAATGAGTGGAAAAGAAAAATCAGATAAATTAATGTAATTAAACATTTTATTTAGGTTTAGTGTAATTTTAGGTCTGAGGTGTTTTTGCTGTATAATTTGGCTTAACCAAAACTATTTGCTGCATTTTGGTATTTTTGCTTATCCAGATTCCAGAGTTCTGGGAGTTGGCAAGTTACAGCAAACAGGAATAGAGATTTCTAGTTAGTTTTTTTGTTTTAACTAAATTAAGTGTTAAGGAATTTTTTTTACCAATCCACGGTTTATGCATTGTTCATTGATAGCAATATCTTTTTTTATACAGGGTTATACGGGTTTTAAAAATATTTCAAAGAAAGTTAAAAATGTGTTTTTTGCAGATTTGATCTTTCTCAAAAGTATTTTAATTTTGATATTTTTATTTAACTGTTTCTGTTGTTTTTAGTAATGTCTGTCACAGGATTAGCTGTTGTTGCAATATTTTTCAGTCTGCTCCTATCTGTATTCAGAATGAAAGCTCAAGGTTATCCTTACAGGTATTAAATAAAATAAAAAATATGTATTATTTTGGATTTTTCAACACCCTTAATTATTAACAATTGTTTGTTTTATTCCAGTGGAGCTAAGTTTTGTATTATTCCAATTACTTAATCGCCTGCTTTTTAAACTCTTTTATACTTAATTTTTAATTTTATCTAGAGTTACAGGACTGTTTAAGCAGTTGTTAGTTTAATCATTAAAAGCATTATGCAATATACAGGTAACTTCTCATCATATATGTCCTCTTATTTCATATATTAACATATGTTGCGTATAGTGTCAAAATTCTATTATTGAATACGGTTTCAAATTACTGGTGTAAAATACAAACTCTGCACATTTGCAATAGTATTTATTTTGTAGATCAGTATTAAAGAGAAGTTTATGCAAATACCATGGCTGGAAAAACTGCCATTCAGGAAGTCATCAAAAACACCTGTTTCAACATTTCTGCTAGTTTGTTATTCCTTAGCCCCACATCATAGCCATTGATAGAAAGCATATCAAACATGCCCTAAACTAAATCCAAATACTGTAGTTACTTTTTAATTTTGCGTTAATGTTTGAACCTAACAGCTTTTGAAATTTTTTATTTCATATAACTCAATATTCTCCCCTTGTATTTTACAAATATTATTTTTGCATTCATACTGAATAATTCCTTTTCAGCTTTCTTTTCAAATGATGACAAAAAGGGCATGATCAAAGCATGAATCACTATCTCATGTATTTCTCTTCATCTCAACAAAATACTGATGTGGAACCCCTTTGCACCCAACACTCATTACCATTGAATCAGTGCAATAAAAGACTGTATTGAAACATTTTATAGAAAAAAAAAAGGTTTTTGTATTATTCAAACATATAAGTTTCATTCATTAAAAAATTTGAAACATACATTCCAGAAAGTTTTGTGTGAAGTGATTATTTTTGCTTTAACTCTATGGGCATTATTTCTATCTTTTTTAGGAACTAAAACTGTTCTCTTTTTTGCAGCAAAAAAAATGTTTCTGCCTATGATGTTTATTAAAAAAATAGTAACAATTATTTATGAAATCATAATGTTTAAAAATTTCATTGTGACATTTTCATTTGAGTTTTTTTTTAAACCTAAAACATATATACATGGATTTTGTGTAGGATTTAACTTAGCCATTATAACTTTCATGACTCTGTGAATAGCAAACCAATTTAAAAAAAAAAAAAAAAAAAAACATGCCACATAAATTTTCGATCATTTTTTCTGTAATTATTACAGTTACTTTTCTTTTTTCGAGACATTTTGACCTAGTTTTTAAAATTCTCATATTTTTAATGTGCTATTATCGCAGCACATAAATTTTTAAAATTTGAGAATTATGCTAATTTTAAATCCAATTTATAGAATGTGCGAATTTAACAGAGAAATAATTTTTATGTTAAACTTTTTCTATTTGAAAAAAGGATTTCGTTTAATGATAAAATCAAGAACTTTTTGTATTATAGGTTTCTCAAAAGCTCTGAAAATTTTTGTGAAATTCAATGCCATTTTTTTAATGGATACATGCCTCTTTTTAGTTTTATAAATGAATCTTGAGCTTTTTTCCTTAAAGTTATGTTAAAAAAAGAAGAATTATTGTGGATAAACTATAATTTTAAATTATGCTTAGCTGAAACGTTTTTGTAACTAATGAATAATATTTAGGTACAATGGAGGCTTACCTGTTAAATTATAATTTGTAACCCTGCCTGTGGTGTATATTAATGTGTTTCTAGTAACTTCAATCAATATTATCTAAAACAATAATTAATCATTTATACTCTTAGTTACACATAACTCATTAAAGCCATGCAACATGCTATCATTAACATACCAGTAATTCACCCATGATCAAAGTCTTAGTCCTGACTTGGTGTGAATTTAATTCTGGTTAAATTGGGAATTAACGAAAAATTTTAATATGATTGTGATAATTCATTAGGGCAAGTAAAATTTTTTAATTATCGAATAAAATTGAACACAAAATTAATATAAATAACATTAACTTAGAAATTACACTGATTTCTAAGGGAATGTAATTTATTTGAATTCCAGCTCTGAATATTAATCTTTAGTAGCTTTCTTCTAATACGGTGGGTAGCTTAGTAGCTGCAAACTATACTGGATTTTGAAAATTTCTCCTGATTTTCTGACTTTCTAAAAATTATATTATTTTTTTTCTCTATATTTTAGAAAGTTTTTTAAAATTTGGACATTTTTCAATTCACGATGAATATTTTAATAAGTGTTTTACTTGCTTGAGTATGTAAACAAGTTACTTCTAAATTATGTCATTTGCTTCATCTACAGCAGTTGGTTTTAAACTTATCTTTTTTTAAATGTTATAATGTTTTGTTTTTCAGAACATTTTTTTAAATTAAAGAATATCTTACAATCTAAAATTCATTCAATATCTATTGCTATAACAAATTCTAAATTAAAAAAATAAAATAAACATTAAAAAACATTTATTAATTATTTTAATTAGTAAGAATTGCAGTCTATTTAAATTTATAGTTTTTTTGACATAATAGAAATCCCTAAAGTCTCACTTATCTGAAATATTTTAGATAGTATGTAATAATATAAAATTCAAATTTTGAAAAAATCTATTGGATTATTTCCTTTTTGGTTGATAGTATTCCTAGTCTTTTTATTTTAATAAATACTATAATTAACATATATATCTGATATATATTTTTTTCAAATAGATATTTAACTTTCTATTACAGTAGTTTGTAATTATTTTTAAAATTTAGTAACCAATGATTTAGAAAAAACTATGTTTTTAATTTGATTCAAGTAATGAATTCTTTCTATCTTATTAAAAAATATTTTATTGCATATTTAATTATCTGTTAAAAAGCCAGTGTTTTTTTCCCGATATATGATATACAGTTCAATTCATAATCTTTGAAAAGAATTTTTTATTTTTTTTCTTCGATTTTCTGAATATTTTTGAAAAATGAATTTAGTTTTTTTTATTGTAAGTGTTGTTTAATTTAATATAAATGTCAGAATTATCACTTAACGAAGCGATCCTTGTTTTTCCCGTTACATTCCTCTGCTATCACCGCCTTCCATACGATGGCTAGGTATGAGTCATTCGTAGCTGTCATGGCCTTCTCCCATTTACAGGGGTTACGGTTAGTTACATCAAAAACTCCACGAATGCAAATTTCTCCCATTACTTGATCCAAAAGTTCCCTTATCTCCTGAATTGGGTTCAAGCTTACAAGACTACAGAAATGAACATTTGTAGTTGTAAACTCAAAATTGGGTTGGCTGTTCAACAAGGATCATGAAAATAAAGTTTAAAAAAAAAAAAAAAAAAAAAACGGTGGGATGGTCATTCCACGAATTTTAACCCAAATAGAAAAATTTGGTTCATTATCGTATTCCATAGAGGAGAAATTTTCTAAAATTAGATTAAAATTTAGAATGAGGTTTTTCCTTTCTGACCATTCTAAAAAAATCTACGACTCCACTAAGAAAGTGACTAAGATTTTTATGACTGAAGTAAAGTAATGTTAATCAGATATTTGCATCATTTATTATATAATAATGTATTATAATTATTACTCCTTCTGCCTTGAAATAATAAATAAAAGTTATTGTATGATAAGAAATACTTAATGTATTAAAAAAATTCAAATTGATGTGCTGAATATAGTAAGTACTCACACTGCTGAAATAAATTCTGGAAGGTAAGGAAGAATTCCCTCATCACAAAGAAGTAAATGGTGGAAATAAAAATTCCCATGCTTTTAGAAAGTAAATGATTCATAAAAGCTTCCCAAAAATAAATTAGTTTTTTGACTATAAAATATTAACGATTTTCGAAATATCTAATTAAAAATGAAGGTGCGCTTTTGTTAACCCTGTGTTGACATTGTAAGCTTGCAGAGCTTTTTCAATTTTCCCCCTTGTCTTCAGTCCTAAATCTATTCATTGTTTATTCAACTGAATCTATTCCTGCCTGATGGTAGGTCTCTGTTTTAAAAACATCGATTTAGTGCAATAGTTGCCATGACAATTCGTTCAGGCGACTTGCTTGATTGCAAAACTGAAAGTTGAGAGGGCGAAAAAAAAGAATTGAATTTTCTTTTTGTCAACTAAGGACAAAATGTTTAAATTGCACGCATTTTACGTGTCTGTTAAACTCAGAAATGTTCTTTTAACCCGGTAACGATCTTATTATTTTCAAGAAAGCGGTCATAGAAGTACCTATTTTTGTATTCAAGAAAATGACATAAAAAAGGTGTATGTTCAATAAGTGTATTCATTTTTAGAATATTTTTAGCTTGAAATTTGAAACTCCGCATGTCCATGGAACTCGGACGTCATAATGTACACAATATTAAAAAAAAAAAAAAAAAAAATATATTATGAAACTCAAACCACATGTTTTCGCAAAGAGCATAAGTAGCTGAAAGAGTACCAAATACATATATTTGGACAGTGCTGACATCTAGTTTAAAATTATCTAACTATCTCCAGTAACGCTAAAAATAGTCTGGTGTAGCTATTTAATGTGCGATGAGAAATAAAAAAGTCCAGGCCCAAGAGATGGATGTATTTAAACCTTTTACGTGCATTATTTTTGAATGCTCTAGCCCTGAAATATCACGGGCACGAGAAATAGGCGATGAAAGCTCACCTCATGATTTTGACTTGAGCGAGATTGAAGGGGTAAAGCCACACACCGAAGTGATTAAGTGACGAAGTATTTTTTCCATTGTAAAATAAGGTAAAAAGTTGACTAGAATTCCAAACTTAAAACCTATCTATTGTATGCTTTGGATTGTTTAGGCCAGGGGTACCCAATTTTTTCAGCTACGAAACCCTAAACGATCAAACTTTTTTTGTGAAACCCAGACTTTTTTTTTTTTTAAAGTTCATAATTTGGTGTAAATATGCAAATGAAATAATTAAGATAATAAAAAAGAACTTAAATTCTGAAACATTTAATGTGAATGAAATTTTTTCATTGTTTCATCAATAAGTTTTAAAATTAGGTTTTATGTTAGGCAGTTGAATGCGCAAGTTAGAAGAGGTTATGTTTTTTTTTTTTTTTGCAAAAGTTAAGTCTAGTAGTTTTTGTCGCTTAAGTTGAAATTTATTAAAATAAGCTGAATTATAATTTTTTAGAAAGATCTGTTACAAATTGTGAGAAAAATTGCAAGAGAAAAATTATTCTTTATTCTTGAATTTGGATATTTTATTTTGAATTTCAAAATTTGAGGAAATATTCTAATGCGATAATTTGTAAAAGCACATCGTTTAGCAATTTATTCAATAATTTGTTATTGGGGAAAAAAATAGATTTTTAAAACATCCTATTTTAATTTTATTGCATTTTTACCTAAATAATTTCATAAAAATTACCTTAATATTAAATAAATAATGAATTATTGGTTGAATACTGACTAATTACGGGTTTCAAAAAATTCATAACTGGTTTCAAAAAATGATTACCTGTTAAAAAAAAAAAAAAAAAAAAAAAANAAAAAAAAAAAAAAAAAAAAAAAAGTTCTAACGCATGTCTGGAGCCCATGTGACCTTACTACTGAACTATAGGTTTGAGAACCGCTGGTTTAGGCTCTTAGACTGGATTAATCATGTCCATCTGTTTAAAAGGCATGAAGTGGATGGTATACCGATTTTGATTCGACTTAGAAATCAAGTTACCTCAATTCTTCTAAACGCCAACACAATTTCTATTTCTTATATTTTTTGTACTGTTTGTTTTGTAAACCTTGTCTTTCAAAAAAAAAATTTTTTTTTTAAGGAGTTTTTCTTTAAAATTTCACATAACACTACAAAAAAAAATTTACTTGAGTAATAATAATAAAAAAAAATAATGAATAAGTAAAAAAATTTTTGGTTTAGCAAGGATATTATTTAAGATTATTTTAAAGCTATTTAAGAAATTAAATATCATTGATTTTCATATACGCTATATTTAACAATTCATTTTGCTTTGAAAAATTTGATGATTTAACTGACATGTCAAACTCAACAGACCAAACAGAAATTATCTTTTCTAACCATTCTACTTCAATGATGATTAATCAAATTTTTTTCGATAATTCATATGGTACATCCAACCAATAGATAATATAAACGAACCTTTGAAACTATTTTATCTTTGTTTCATTTCATCCAATTTCCTTTAAAAAGTTTGATGATTTGACTGCAACCTCAAATTCGTAGTCAATAAAAATTTTCCTTACTAACTATTTTATCTAGATTACGATTAACATATTTAAGGAATATAAAAAGATAATTCAAACAATCGATTAAATTTTTTGAAGAGTCAAATAATCAAGCAAAGAATCTTGGTTTGAGATAAAAGATCAATAAAAGAAATAACAGAGGAACAAAAATCTGATAGAGATGAGGTTGACTTCTGAAATCACTTATTTTTATTCAATGACTCGTTGCGATCGATACAGTTATGAAACAAGCTTTTTTTTACTTAAAAAAAATATTTAATCCAAATTTTAAGTATCTCATTTATACAAAATGAATAAAATGTTTATTATTATTATTATTAAATGTTCATTATTGTTTATAATTATTATTATTTTTATGTTTACTATTATTATTATCTTTTCATCAATTTTATCTTAAGTTTATAAAACCAGTATTTCATAATTACCATTTATTTTATAAATCTGAAAATGACGAATCGATTCCTTTTTTTATCCCTTAAATTATATAATTTGGCTAAGAATTCGTTTTTATTCCTTTGTTTTTGATAATATTTTACATTAGAATCAGACAACTTCAATTCATCAATCATCTTTTTAAATTTTAGCAAATATTAACAACAACAAAATTTCCCTTTGAAATTTTTAAAAAATGCCAAATAGTGAAAAATAAAAAATGCAAATTAAAAAAAAAAAAAATTCCTGACGAAGATACTTTCACTATTTTTCACTATAAATTCACTATTTTCGCTGCTCAAAATTTTTTAAAAATAATTTCATTTAAATTAAAGCAGTTTTTTCATTCGAAAAATCACAGGAATAAGGTAAAAATGCAACAGCTGAATATTTTTTTACTCAGCGCATTGATACATGAATGAAGGTAAAGAGTGTGCTGCGGTTTCCTGTCTAGTCAACATTTTCCTTGTTTGTGTTTTGTAGATTGGTGAGTAGCGGGTTTGTTTTGAGTTCTCGCGTGGAAATTTTCTTTACGTGAAAGAACCCGCCCATTTAATTTTAGATCAAAATACTACAACTTACTACAAAAGATGAAGAGCTGTGCACAATAATTGGGAAAAACTATATTTCATATATACAAGATTTATTTTAGACGTAAGTTCAGATTTAAAAATGCTTTCTATCCATGTCTTTTTCTTCCTTTTTCTTTTTATGAGTGCGAATGATGTTTATAAATAGAGACTAGGTTTTCTCTAATTTTTTATTCATAAATAATTCAAAATTTAAAAAAAAAAAATAATTTTAACATTTTTTTTACTGATCGACAGTCTTAACTATTCTCAATGAGAAAGTTTCTATTTAACAATTTTACGTCAATTACGAGTATTAAATTTCATCCTATTGCTGTTTTATATCCGGTCCATATGCTTGAAAAATTATCGTTACTGTTTTTCGATAGCTTATTATATCATAATCGGCTTTGTAATTAAGTTGATTTGACAAAATTCCGAAAAACGTTTTATTAAATTTTCCTTCATTTTATTAATTTTTTCCCCACCCTTCTTTATCTGTTTTCATTTTCACCCTATAATTTATTTCCTGAGGCAACTCCATAATTATTAAGATATAAATTTAAAGCGTTTACAAAAAAAGTACATTTTCATTCATAATTTATAAAATGTTGTACAACAATTTATATTTAAAGTGTCTTTATTTATGTAATTAAAAAAAGAAAATTTAAAATTGAAATCCAAAACTGCCTCTTTCATAGAATCGTTTTTCTCTTAAAAAATACATTGTTCTCCCCGTTTCAAAATATTATTAATAATAAAAGAAAATTTATCAAAATTATTCATTGTAACAATTTTACTTAATAAAGTAAAACTCAAAATATTAATTAATGAATATTATTATTAATTACTCAAATATTATTAATTTAATTCAAAATTTGAAAGCTTAATTTTAAAGCGTTTTTTATTTAAAATGTGATTAAGTTTTTCCCCCAAAACCTGTTGACACTTTTCCAAATACTGAGAGTAATTTTTTTTCTGTTTAATTTTCTAATTTTGGAACTACTTGGGGGTCCCTACGAGTAGAAACGCTTGATTCCCTTTTCAGTTAGGGTTTCTTCTTCCTTATTATTTTCTCCTCATTTGATGCTTTCAAGTCGAATTTTACGAAGTCTAGAATTTATTAGTTTAAGAATCATGACCATTAGTTTTTTACTAAACACAAACTTATTATGGCCAGAATAGGATCGTTTTTTCTTTTCTTATATAGTTTAGTTTACAAAATCATCAGAAAAACTCCTCTATCTTTAGATTATTTTCTTTGCCCTAGGGCTATGGAATTATAGAAGAATCGCTACCCCTCTCCCCCCTGAAAAAAAAACTTGTTTTTCAACTGTTTGGATTTTAAGCTCCAAACGCAATCACTGAAGATATTATTTAAGACCACATGTTCCATATATTAAACAAAAATTAAGATTTTGTATTCTGCGCTTTGACATAAATTTCACGTTTGCTTTTTTAATTAATTTGAATTTGCTGCTTTGTGAATTTTTCCTAACAATTAACATTACTATAAGTTAAATCAGATTTTAAAAAAAATAATTGTATTATTTTTACAGTTGGTTTATTTGCTCAAATGTTTTGTCTGGTTGAATTAGTGACGAGATTTCATGGAGACAGGCACAGGTGTGGCTTCACCTAATAAGTTGGATAAATCGATCTCTATTGTATCACATTTCGATGCTTTTTTTTAGACTTTTTGCTATTTTCTCATACAAGTTGAGAACGAAAAAAATTATTTTTTCATAACTTTGCATAAAATCTTGAAATCAGATGTTAAATTTTTTTTTCTTTCTCGATAAGTTTTATTGATTTTTATCTTTTTATCATTGCGTAATCAATTACCATGGGTTTTCTTTATGCTAATACGGATATTTTTGAAACAAATTTCCATGGAAGTACATGAATTATAAAGTGCAATTTATTTAACGCATTTTCCATGCCAAAATCTGTATTTAAAAAGGGAAGAAAAAAAATTAAATTATTGATTCACTGTATGTTTTTTTCTTAAAATTCCTTTTTTTTCCCATGTAAATTTTATTAATTTTTATAAACCGAATTAATTTGATGTTTCGAACTCTTCACTGCGACCGATTTTGATAGTTTCTTTCCCTTGATCCCTAATTCATGATACTTAAACGATTTATTTCTCACACCATTTTTAACAGATTCTAAAAATAAATTAATGACCAAGATTATGAGACATCGTATGTTTGCATTATAAATTTAAGAGATATGAAACGAAAATTATAACGAATGTGTTTATGTATTTGCATTCATTTTTTTTTTCATAAATAATTGTTGGATTAAAAAATATATTCAAATGTATTTTTTTTTAAAATTTATGTTGAGGATGATGCAAAAANAAAAAAAAAAAAAAAAAAAAAAAAAAAAAAAAAAAAAAAAAAAAAAAAAAAGTGCATTTATAGAGGTACATTGAGAGTGACAAATCAATAATATCTGAATTAGAGAAAAAACTCGACGATTAGTTTTGAAATGAAGGAAAAATTACATACAAATACATTGAAACGTATTTTATTGAAGAAAAAAAATTGATATCAACGGCGGCGTATGGACACTTCTAGTTTCATTTGCAATCAAACTGTTTCGAAAGCTTTCAATCTCGTTTCCTTTGACCGGCATCCTCCAAATTCAAGATTTTTCCCTATACTCGATCCAGGAGTTCCCTTGTCTTCTGGATTGGGTTCAAAATTACAAGGCTACGTAGTCGTAAACCCAAAAATTGGGTCGGCTGTTACGATCAGTCCCGCAGTGGACTGATCGTTAGGACACGGTTCCCAGCAGATCACCGAAGTCAAGCATCACTGGCTGCGGTCAGTGTGCGGGTGGGAGACCACTTGGATCATTCTGCGTAGGGACCGAGGGTGTGCGGTATTGGTCCTCGTTAAACTGTTCTACCATAAAGTGCTCGACATCGCGTGCAGGTCGTCGGGCTACCGAAGCGGGGGTGCCATCCCCTCTGCAGAGGATCAAAATTGGGATGGCTTGTCTTCGGATCATCCTCAGGGATGTCTCCCAGACCGTCGCCAATAGCCCATTGTGCAGCTCTAGTGCGACTTAAATGAACTACAACAACATTTTCGTGGTTTTCCGCTTCATGTAACTCAAATGCTGGTTAGTTCCACCGAAAAGTCCTCCGCGAAGGCAAATTTCTCCCAATACTTGATCCAAGAGTTCCCTTGTCTTCTGGATTGGGTTCAAATTACAAGGCTACGGAGTTGACTATTAGCAATCGTAAACCCAAAGATTTTGTCGGCTGTTCAACGACGGTTATAAAATAAATCCAAGATGTGTGAGCCGCGATGGCTCAGAGGATAGAGCTTTCGCCTTCCAATGAGGTGAACCGGAGTTCGATCCCGGCGATGGCTTGTCGATACGAATTCCGCATCCGGCTTGCACCGACCACGGTGCTGATGTGAAATATCCTCAGCGGTAGACAGATCACGGGTTACAGTCCCCTTGCCGTCAGGATAACTGTGGGAAGTTTTCGTGGTTTTCCGCTCCATGTAACGCAAATGCTGGTTAGTTCCATCAAAGAGTCCTCCACGAAGGCAAATTTCTCCCAATACTTGATCCAAGAGTTCCCTTGTCTTCTGGATTGGGTTCAAATTACAAGGCTACTTAGTTTAACCAAAGAATATACATAGGGGAAGAAGTCTAGCTTTCATCGCACCCTCCTCTCCTTCTAACCAATACTGGGATTGGGAAAGCGTTGCGGTAAAGAAGAAACTTTTTCACCGTTGGTTTGTTATGTATTTTCACACACTATTGATAAACAGTAACTATTAAGATATCTCTTTGAGAATACATTTATATCATCCATGTTAATTAAATCTGCTAACACATTTTGACACAGAAAGAAAGAATAAATTGGCGGAAAGCAGTGACCCAACCATGCATGTAGAATTGTCCAACAAACTGTTCACAGGTGACGTACCTTCTGTCACTTTGCTTCTTATACGCATGCGCAGGATCTCAGTTCAAATGACGCTCTGCTAAATCTGAGTATGTTACTCACCCTGTAAGTTGTTTTTCTAGTATAGCCTACTGAACCAATTCTTTGGTTTAACATTAGCCGTCGTAAACTTAAATTTGGATCTGCTGTTCAACAACGGTTATAAACTAAAATTTGGATTATAAGTTAGAGTCCCCTTGCTGTCAGGATAACCGTGCGAGGTTTTTCTCACCATGTAACGCAACGTCAGACGAAATTTCCTAACTTCAAAAGCCATCTAGAATTAAAGAATTTGTAACTGTGCCCGTCTAGTATTAAATAATTTGTGCTGTGTTTATTATAGAAGTTTGCTTTCTAAACTATTTTCATGATTGTCTTAGGTTTGTGGAACTTTTTTTCGCGGAAAAGAATGAATTTCGCTTTTCAGAAACAGCAATTATACTTGCACACAGGTGCGAGATTTTGATGTCTCAGATGCACCCGAATTTTATCTTTCCTAAAACATTGCAAATAAATATTTGTTCTGATTTTAGCGAACAACCTACTGCACATATTCCTTTGCATTTAACGGGTGTATCGAGATAAGTACCCTAATCTCAATTACCGTCATCTCAAATATGGAAGTACATAAGTAACGGTTTCTAAGCAAGGGGGTATTGGTCCGCCTACCTCTAACACGTGATAATCGTATCAAATGCAAACAATTCTGATTATTATTATTTTCTTAGCGCGGCATGTCCTTATTTGGACTTTGTGTCCTTAAACCCTTCATTCAATTATCAATCAAACAATTCTGTTTTTGGATAACCGCTTAGAAATAAGTACTTTCCATTATTTTTATGGTAGTATGCTAATTAATATATTTTATTTTTAACCGACATTGAACAGCTGACCCAGTTCTGAGTTTCTGACTACAGATGTTCAACTCCGTTTGGTTGTAATTTTGAACCAAACTCAGAAGACACCAGAACTCCGGGTCAAGCACTGGGATGAATTAGACTTAGTGGAAGACTTATTCATGGAACCAGCTCGAATATGCGTTACATGGAGACGAAAATCACGAAAACCTCCCGAGGTTAGAATGACGGCAAATGGACTCCAACCCATCA